TTTTTTTTTTTTTTTTTTTTTTTTTTTTTTTTGAAAGAAACTGATTGGTAAATTTTGTCGAGAAAGTCAGGGAAGCAAGCCCAGCCAAAGATGTTTAATGTACAGAAAAAAGCGGATACAGGGAAATGTTGCACAGTAAAAAAGAGAGCGGGAAAGTTAAGTTAAAGAACCAGTTGGTGTCAAATGATTACTTCAGTAAAACACTACAGGACAAAGTCTTTGCTACACTGAAACAGATTTACTGTTACTAACAGAAAGCGTGGTAAGTTTATATATTTAATTGGCCATTAGACAAGACTACTCTTCAAATTAGTGCTGCGTCTGCTAAACCGGAAAATTCGTTTGTTACCGCTTTATACTGTTTTATGCAAAGGCCGTCTTTAGTGCAGCAACAAACGATTCTGTGCACCTGAAATGCCCTTAGTTACAATAATACCCAGTTTTTCAGAAATAGTTTTTAATTTTGAAGTTTAAGGAAGTTTTTGAGTTTTACGTGTTTTTTCTCAAATAGAGTAGGACTCGAATTATGTTATACGAATAAATAATTTTTTTCTTCTTCGCTGTTTTGACTTTGTTTATTAATGCTTTTTTTGATACAGTTCTCTGTGATATTTGATGCAGCTAATAGAAGGATTTACAATGGTGACTGATAAAGTGCACAACAAGTTTAACAGAAACTAAGAGCTTACTGACTACTGGGTGAAAAAACTGAAGTTCTTCAACTAGTTTTTGGAGTGCCTATGCAGTAGGCTGCCTTGAGGTGGAAGATATAAATATTATATAATGGAAAGATGAACAACATTTAAACAGTACATTTTGTGTGTCTTTTTCAGAGTTCTTCTGTGTAAATTCTTCTAAAGAGAGTTGTCGTCTTTGATAAGGGGGGAAAATTTAGTTTGGTCAATGACCGGTGAGGTGTATGACAGTGATTTAACTATAGAAAAAAATCAAGCAAAAGGAAGTGCTCTTGTTTAATAATGTTTGGATGATTTGCGATTCCTTCCTGGAAAGCTTGAAAATAAACGAAGATTTTACAAAAACTTATGAACAAAAAACCGGATTCTTCATTTCTATTGTGGAATTTTAGTAACTGCAAATTGCTTGTGTGCTCTTTGTCATTATCTTTTCGCTACAACTTTGTTGTTGCTGAAACTGACTACAAGACAAATGATGAGAGTCGTAGGTGAACAGAGAGCAGTAAAATATGAGTATAACGAAGTGATACTTAAATATAATTTTATTATTGGTTTATAAAATCTTTTTTAATTTGCTGAGCAGCTATATTGGCTTGAAAGTTAACTGTAGAGGTTTTAGTCTGTGATTAGGTGTCTGTAATAAACATCATCACAGCTTTTAAAGGTCTGGTTGAGTAGAACTGCCGTGGCAGGTAATCAGTTTGGAACAACAGAACCCGCTTAGCCTGTTCTATGATTCAGCAATGCTGTTGTGGCTCTAAGTTGAAAACTAAATCCATTGACTGTTTTGTTTTTTGCTTGTGGTTAGTTTCTTTCTTGTCACTGCTTAGTGAATTAGGCGAAAAATAAAACTAATAATTGTATTCATTAATGACGGCACCTGCCGGAATGCACTTTACAAGGTTATGCGGTATTTTAAGTAGTTTTCTCATCAGTACTGAAAAGAAGTTTTTGCTGTTTTAGTATTTTAACAGTAGATACAGTTTTGTCTGTTTCCTGTACTACCATTATACCGTTTATTAGCTTAGTTTATGTGAAAGCATTACGGTAAAGTATTTAGTCAAATTAGCTAATTAACAGTGAACGTACAGCTTTTGTTTCTTTTCGAACAGTAATTTTACTAAAATTTTCATTTTTTGTTGTACATGTTCAAAAAAATTTCTTTTATTTTTCTGCTTTTCTTTGACTCGTACAAAATTTGGCTTCCTTTTTTCGCTATAGCAGAAAAACGACAAAAAGGAAAAGTAAAATAAACGCTTAACGGCCTGCACTTACAGTTTTTCAATGCGGCCTTCAAGACCGGTTACTAAACTTGAAACGGTGACTTTATCAAAATTTGACTAATTTCAGTCTAGTTTATTTCGAAAGTGATTCGAGAGACAAGTTTAATTTACAGTGGCAATAAATTTCTAATTCCACATTTTCTCGAATTTCTTCTGAAAATATTTGAAAAATTAAGCTTTATGGTTTTTATTGCCATTTTTTGCAGTTCACTGCACATTAAGAATTTTTTGAAAATCGACATTCTTAGGGTAAAACTTCTGCTTTACTGAAAGTACACACTGTAATAGTTTTTAACGTTTTCTGAGTGCCTCATGAAGGTTAAAAAGTGTTAATTTGTTTTAAAATATGAAATAAAAAAAGACACCAAAAAGAGTTTGTTTGAAAACTACCTACTAAGTAAGGTTAATCCAAAAATTGATTGCATTCACCGAATCCGACACTTTTTTTGTTTCGATTAATCAATAAAACCAATTAATTGCCAATTTTTTTTGCATACTTGGTCTATTTTTCTGGAATCACTGTCATTTTCAATATGACAAGGGAAAAAATTCGTTTTTTAACCTTTTATATAAAATTTTACTATTTTTGAAAACTCTTCTATCATTAACTGCAAAGATCACAAATGTATATAGGTAGTAAACTCCCGCTAAATTGATTATGAAAGCATCTAATTTGGTCAACCTCTCATAACGATAATTTAATAAGTTCTGCTTTCTAAACGATTATAAAATTTATTGCTTGACGATTTCTAGCAAGTTTACCATAAATAGTCTGACTGCTTAGCAAAATACAAGAAGTAGAAAGAAAAAATTAAATAAAGAAAATATTTTTGTCTTTTTTTTTTGCTTTCGAAAAGATGAGAGGATTTGCTATAAATCAGTGATAAAATTCGCCTGTAATAACCTCTCAGAAGTATGTCAAGTTGATCAAGCAGAGCAAGCAAAATTTTATGCATTTAAGACTTTTTAAGCAGTCTCAAAGTTCAAAATTTGTTCTAGTTTATGATCTTTCATTCCAAAACACCTGATTTTACTGCTTTTGATAGTCATATACATTAGCAATAAGGCTGTTTATTTCTTCAATTCATGCTACGAGTGAAAAACTTTTGCAGCGACAAAAATTGTTTTTTTTACTGAAGAGATTATCACACTGTCAGGTTTGGAGAACCTTTTGAATTGCTCTCTTCTTTTATTGTAAATGTATGTTCTAAAGTTATATAGCTTTTTGAAAAAACCTAGCATGTATCTCAATCGAGAAATTGGTTGCATTTCAGAATATCTTTAACAGTAGAATTGTTTCGCTTAGCTGTCTTTTGTTATTTCGTTAAATTTCATGAAAATACACTATTTTATGAACCTTTGCTTGCAACACTGTTTCCACTTTAACTATTGTCAGTTGTTTTATGATTACTCTGGATTTTTCACAGAAAGAAAGTTTACTTAAAGATGCATAGTACTTCCACGAATGTACTTTCCTCATCATTTTTTTTTTTGCTGTTATTGATCATCATAACGTTTTTCTTCTCTTCCTTCTGTTCCGTCTTGTTCTAGTTATGTAACATTGCTTGTTTTGTACAGTGTAATAGTAGTTATATATTGTAGCTACAAATTGTTACCGCAAGTAAATAAATAAGCAATAAAGCGACAAAACTTTGTTACATTATATGCTTAAAAGCTATTAATACCAGGAAGTAAAGTACAGTCTATCCTTTCCACATTTCTCAAATTTAAAAAAAAATGGCGTATGGTTCATATCAGAGCAGCTTTGTATAAGCAAAGACTAGCAGCTGATTATATTCTGCAGTAAAACACTTGTTGACAGTGGAAACCCCTTGTTGTCGGCTGTAACCGTTCTGCACCTTAAGGACAGTTCTGTTACGTTTTGCTGAAAAAGTGTGAAAAAAAGCTAAGACTTTTATTCTTTAAAAAAAAAAAAATTCAGATTTTGACATCTTAATAAAAGAAAGGTGTAACAGTTTCTAGAACTGACTTTTTTGTGCTGTTCCAAGCTGATTTTAGTTACAAAAACTGAAATTCTAAAAGATCTATTTTTTACCTAAATTTGCAGAAATAGCCATGATTGTAAACGGCAAAAGTGTTTTTCCTTCATTCAAAACGTTTATTGCTCTTTGATCTCGGTAATTCTTCTGTAGTGTTGCATCTTAAAGAAAAGTATGCTTCAGTTTCAAGCGTTATCAATGCAATAGTCGTTAGTAATATTAAATCTTGATCTCCACAACCGTTTGGTCTTTATACCCTGTTCCGCGAATTACAAACTGAGATTGGTTGGGTCGACACTGACAATTTTTTCTGACAAGTGGAGCATGTTTCAGAGTTGAATACAATGAGACTTTACTAAGTGTAATGCAAATGACAGCTTCTTAAGCAGTTAGTAGCAAGAAATTTTGGTGTAGGTTGAGTAGAGCAATAAAAGTTTTATGTTGAAGAAATAGAATGAATTTTTAATGACATTTTAGGCAGATGTTAGCATTAATTATAAATAATCATTTAAAGTCATTTATCAAAAACTCTAAGAATGAATAAGCTTGGTTTTGAAAGCCAAAATTAGTTGATAAAAGAGCAGTGCATGCTTATTTCCTATTAAATGACAGTGAGAACTACCTGGTTTGAAAACTAACGTTTAGAAAATTTCTTGTCTAAACAAAAAATAACCACAATCAAAAAAAAATCTAATAAGTCAAAAAGATTAGAAAACATTGGCAGAATTTTTTTATATGTTCCTAACCGCAACACACTATTTGGCAGCACTGATTTGCTCAAAATAGCATTAGTGTAGCGATACTGTCTCAACAATTTTACCTGAAAGACTTTAATTAAATAAGTGAAGTAGACACAAAACGTCTTTCGTAGCATTAGAAATAGTACTTGACTGACTAGAAATCTAACCAAAGTATTAACAAAACAATTGCCATGTTCTAATTAAAGAAAACTATTCTTACGTAAACACCGATCAACAAATAAAACAAAAATTCATAGCAAGTTTTAAAGTCTTTTGACAGCTCAAAACCAGTGCCTTTTAAAAAACTACTTTTTCTTAGAGTTTGATAAACACCGAAAAAACAATTGGAATTAACTATGTAATAAAGATATAAATCCAGAAGAAAAACTAACTCTAACTGTTAAACGTAAAATTTTAATTGAAAAAACATTCAAACTAGGAGACTTTATTTATTGTAGAAAAGAAGCTGATTTTCTACTTTTTATTATTTTCTGATTTGGAGGTTGGTTTTGAAATCTCATTGCTTATTCGACATACATATAAACTTCAAAGTCAGTTATGAATTGTTAAAGTTAAAAATAACCCTTTAATAGTAAGGAAGAATCATGTTTAATCAAAAAAGAAAACTTTTTTACGGTAAAAATGCAGAATTAACCTCACAACTGTTTTTTAAAACTGCTTATTATTTCACCTCAATTCACAATAATTGAGCTCAAAATGCAGGAAAATATTGAAGGAACAACCGAAACAAATAACAATTTATTTTACTGCCGGCAAAAGTTTCAAAAGATGCATATTTTTTGCTTCATTCGACAACATTAACTTAGGCTACAGATTCAATATGCTGATTAACATATCCACAGATATCCACATCAGTGATGCCAAAAGTCTACAATCAGTTAAAAAAGACGAGCCCTTAGCAGCTTTAAAATTAGTCAAGCGATACACACGAGATTATTATAAAGCAATGCATCGTAGCTTGAAAAATCGAAAAGCAATTTACCAATGGTCAAAGAAAAATTTAACCGAAGTAGTGTCAAGGCAACAATGATCAACAGTTTTGCTATAAAAATGAAATAAAAAATTAATAGCACTGAACTGCTTCCTTATGGCAGTATATAAATATTTCTGAGAGTGAAAAATAACCTTATCACACCACAAAGCCTTCGTTATTAAATTCGTAAAGTTTGAATTACAACTTTTAGATTCATACAACAGTTACCTAAAACAGGCAAAATAAATTTTCTTTATAAGACCACTTTAAATCTGCCATTGTTTGCTCCAACTTCTCCAAAACTTCTGCTAAAGAAATACCAAACTTGTAACCCGGGCGAATGTAATTTATACAATGTTTCTCATACAGCAAATGACTGCTTTAGCTTGACAAAACTGTAAAATTTACGATTTTCTTATTCTGGAAGTAGTACTTGTTTTGTGGCAAAAGATACAGAAAGCGTGCATATACTCGAGCTACAACTTGTGGTAAAATATTTCTTTGCAAATATTTATAAAATTTTCTGGAAATTAGAAAACAAACAATGAATTAATTTTTTTTTGAAATATAACTTATTTTTTAATTTTGGCATTTAAATGAAATTTTATACTGTTACTTTCCTAGCGATTTGGAAGGTAAATGAACACATCATTACGCTCTGTTGTCTACAAAAAAATGAGGGCAATTAGTAGCTCAAAAGAGAAAGCAGCCAGCAGCTTATAAAATTAGTTTTCCTTCGTTTTTCTCTGTAGACTTTCATCCTCAAAACTAAATCGATAGTTTTAAAATTGAAGTCTAAGCTGCACTGGTTTGGTGAAACCGACAGAACTTTACAACGCTTCGTTTGCCAAGATAAAAACAATTTTTAGGCGGTACGCTTGGTCTCAAGCGTCCTATCACTTAAATGGTTCTGCCAGGAAAGAAAATACCGTTTTGAAGCTCAAGAAGTCCCGAAGGCGGTTTCAACTGCTGTTTTATAGAACACCTACTCGTCAAAAGTTAAAAATGACGTCTGAAAAAGTTTTTGCAACGGGCCGGAAACAAACCAAATTTTTTCTCTTTTTACGTTTCAATCGGTTCAACCTCATGCACCGTTCTGCACCAGACAAAAAGTGAGCCAGCTGCGGTTAGATATTAGTTCTTCTTGACTTCCCTATCACTTTTTGCAAGGTTCTGGGCGTCTTTTTGCACGTATGGCGACCGGTCAGGATCAAGAATCGCGTTCAGCAGGCTTTTTATATCTTATTAAATTAAGGCATTTCAAAAATATGATTTTGAATTTATCAGTCTATTCATTTAAAATTTATTTTTATTTAGTACTTCTAGTGAAATTAATGCGTTTTACACACACGATCAGTGAGAATTAAAGATTCCAGCCTCAGAAGCGCTTGTTATACGCAAAGTTTCAATTGTTGCGCATTAGAAAAAGTTTTACGAGCCGGCAAGTTCAAAAGCTATATTTAAGTTTAAAGATTTTTTTATTTGAGGTTATACTAACCTGCTTGTGAAGCCATGTAATTTTTCGCTAAACTTCTGGCAGATCAAAAAAAAGCTTTTGTTAACTGTCCAACTTTTAAAAACAATTTTTTGTATGTCCTATCTTTAAAAATCATATCAGAAATTCGTCTTTAACTTTCAGAGATAATTACAACTATTGAAAGGTTATTGGTTGATATTTCCAAGTACAGAACCTTTTCTTTTGCCTAGAAAATCCAAACATTTAGGACGAAGAATGCAGAGTGCTCTCTGACGAATGAATCTTCTGTGGCATTTAAATTCTGGTTCCTTTACAGTCAACTGAACGAACTGAAACAATTTTACTGCACTTTGTTCCACAGCTTTTGTTAAGTTTGAATACCTAGTTGATTTTCATTTAAAACTATTATTGACGTTTGATCAATTTCTTTTTTTTAAAATTTTAGCCAAGTTTTAGAGTAGAAAGAAAGATAAACAGCAAAAAAATAAACAGCAACCAAATTCTTAACCAAGGCATCAAAATTTGATGCAGTTTGGTGACCAATATATGGTTTTAATGTCTAGAAAAATGTTCAATAGCCGCAGACTTTCAGACACCAGAGAAGTAATACGACAATAAATTAAATTTGCTCACATTTTGTACACATCGTCAGCCTACCGCATTACGGTATTCTTCTGTTCTCCTGGATGAAAATATTCGTACTAAATTGGAAATGAAGTCTTCAGTATATCCTCAGTTACAACTGTCGCTAGTACTGAAGACTCTAAAATAACTAAATCTTCATTCTCATTATAGATAATGCTTTCTATAAACCTTAAACTAAACCGAATACTCTATTTTAAAATAAACTAATAAAATAGAGAAAATTAAAAAAGCTTGTTGCAGCGACAGAAAAAAGTTAAACTAAAGCTGAACTTACAGCCAACATCTGCAATAGCACTTTTATCACTGTCAGTTATTTTTAAACAAAGGTAGCTCAAAAATATTTTGAAAGTGGCAATTCATCACTGTTTACATGAGTTTAACAAGTACACTTAACCGTAAGTGCTTTTGAACCCTCTGTACACACAGCCAGGAGCAAACTGCACCTAACAATGGCGCTCAAGTCATAAAGATGACTTCTTTCACCTCTTGGTCAACCATCTGCATTCACAGAGACTGTTCATCACAATTTCAATTAAAAAAGCAATTTACTCAAGCTATCCTCATTGTCAAAACAATTTGTTTAAATATAAATTTATGTGACAATCTCATCAGTACTATTTTTTTCATCATAACCTAACTCCCCCAAATCACTCCTGTGATCTTGCATTCGAATTTTGTTAAGGAATCGTTTAGAAAGCGTTGAGGTTGAAGATGAATAAATATGTTTGTATAATTTGCGAATCGCGGTAAAATGATGTTAAAGAAGGGTGGGTAAGATGACAGTCAACCATCGAGGTAAATTGAGAAACGATACAATTTAAATATTTATCACGCCGGTACCAACAAACATGTTTCTTAATTAATGGTTAAAGAAAAAAATAAAAACAGAACCGCCAAACTTGAAGACTGAAAATTTCAAGGCACCAAACTGGTCTACGTACAGACACACCAAATGTCAACGCTACGAGATGACACAGACAGTGCATTACCTTTTAATAAAGTGGCAGTACTAGGACAAATATAAAAAATTTACTTTGAACATCAAGTAAAAACAAAATTAGAAAACTAAATAATAAAATAACCATCAACAAGAATTATGAAAAAGCATATGTAAACTTTGCAATAAAAGACTATGAACGCCTTACAGAAATAAATTTATGGGTTTGGGAAGCCCAGAATACATCATCCAAAACAAACAAAAAGTTAAGCAAGAGCAATGAAGAGCCGCTGGGTAGCATTGCCTACTTTTATTGACGATGTCCGTAACCTAAAGGTACTGTACCTAAAGCCCCTGGAACTCCACCTGTGCCGACACCAACAGGTATACCGCCAATGCCAGGAACCCCGTTAACACCACTGACACCACCGATTCCAGGTATACCACTACCGAGTGTACCAGCAGTGCCGCTCAACACCTGTGGACACTGGGCTGGCGTGATACAAACTAGGCCGTGACGCACCAAACCTCGTCGACACGTACATCGCGGTAACCCGCAGTTTATCTGTGGACACACTGGAACTGGCCTTTCACATGTGCCTTCGCAAGTCGGGCAGTTGTTGTACACTTCTGTCGCCTGACATCGAACAATACCTAAAATGCAGAAAAGATTTTTTTTTTTCTCTGACAATTAGGCAGTAAATATGGACTCGTAAAAACTTTGAGGAAAACTTTTCTTTGCTTTGTTTCAGAACACTTATAAACATCTTTTTTTTGTAAATCTTTTCTGCTAGGACAAAAATTTCAAATCACTGCTTAGTACAACAAATTGTTTTCTCTATTATGAGGAAGAAGGAACACTCTGAGCAAGTAAAAACTCACGGCTTGACTCGAGAGGCACATCAGTTTCGGAACTACAGAGAATAAAGAGTACCTAAAGCATTCAGATGACGATTATTATCTTTTAACTGAAGAGAACGTTACATTTTACATAGGAAAACTAAAACCAAAATTGTGCTAAAATTTTCTTATGAGTGAAAAAATGTCTGAGAAGCTGCTTAAAATTAAGAGTAAAAATACTAGTAAATAGCGCACAGGAAACATGTATGTCAGCATTGTAGAAGCGCAGACCCTGAAATAGCAGTGTATCAGTAATTTACGAAAGAAATTTAACAAAGGTATGTAGTTCTGTTCACAAAATGCATTTTTCTAAATAAGGAAAACAAGCTAAGCTAGAAATAAAAAAAACTACACGTTACTACCCCAAATAGAACACGCTAAAACTACGACTACGCTTTTCAAAATTTTTTGAGACTGTGAGGAAAGAATGAAATAAACTATAACAGCTTCTCGAACAACCAAAATCTTAATGTTTGGTTAAAGGTTTTATCGCGCCATCCTCATACCACTACCGAAAACCAAACTGTTGCTTTTGATTAGTGAGTTTGGGAAACTATTCTAAATTATTTATAAACAATATAATGGCTACCGAAAAAATGAAGTTGGTTACTGTTGTGCGCTATATATCATCGCTATACTGTCAATTGGTTTCGGATTTCTTTTGATGTTACTCTCTCTTTAGTTCCGCCGAAATAACTATTTTAAACGTCCTCCACGATAGATCTTATCCAATGTGAACAGGTCAAGAATTACACAAATGCGTGCTTTATTATTCTTTATCTGTCTACTTCATCTTTTTCTTCTTTTTTTCAAATAATTTAGTTGATTCAAAACTTTCAATTTAATTTCTTCTGAAATTTTGCTGTAAAGTCTAAAGAACTAACTTTTTTTTACAACTCTCTTAATTTAGATTTTACATATAATAAAATAAAAAAGCAGCCCAAAATAAATTACTTTTGTAATATAAAATATACAGTTTACGTTGTCTTTCAGCTTCATCTTACCGTAGTAATTTAAAGACTTAAACTTTCTTCACCGTAAGAAGATAATATGGTTTTACAAAAATCTCAACCTCTAAACAAATTGATACAAAAAATTTTGTTTCCAAGTTTTAGATAGTTTAAATGAAGCAGACTACGTTTAGTTCGTCTACCGTTTTCTAAAAACACACAGTTTTCACTAACTTGTTTATTTGTTTATTCGTTTATAGGTGTAATTTGAAAGATACTCACAAAGAGTTATAAAATAGAAAAGCCAAATAACTTTACGGTTATTCTTCAAAAACGATTCATTTATATTTTTTGACAGCATTGTATTTCAAGACCAAAAATGCATGTTAGCATTCTGCCTAAAAAGCAATACTCTCTACTTGTCTCAAAAAAATAAGTTTCTTTCAAGCCAAAGTTGTGTCTCACGTAAATATTTAATGTGATATTTTTGACTTCTTATTGGATGTCAAATAGTCCAGGACCGTTCTTAGGCTAGGTCGAGTCTATTCCTTTATGATATTTATGTAAGCAAGTTTTTTTGCAGCTGATACTTCTTACTAAAAAAGCTTTAATTTTGACTGACATCTCTAACATGCAAATGCACTTTTCTTGAATGTAATTTGAAGACTAGTAAGGTTAGCACCGCAGATATAAACGCTACAATTGCGTCAAAAACTCCAACTGCGATAGTGTGAGCTCACTGTAGAAGCCAATACACCGAAAATGCTTTATAAGCGTTATAGCACTGGAGTATAATAATTGATACTACTCAAAAAATCCCGCCACATTCTCTTTACAGTGATTCAAAATTTCATAATCAAAAATTGATAGTTAAATTTATTTATATAATTATATTTTAGATCATTCATCAAAGACTAACAATTCTTATCGCATAATTAATGAACAAATAATTTGAAACTGAAACAAAAAAAAAAAAATAGAAAAAAAACAAAGAAATGCTAATAAAAGGTTTTAACAGTTTATGACCAGGTAATCAAATTAATTGTCTATACCAAAAAAGACTCAATGCCCCTGAACTTGAACTGCTAACAGTGAGTTAACATGGGTCTTTCTTCTTCATTTAACCTTTATTCTTTCTGTCAATAGTAAACACCAAAACGCGAAACTACAAAAGCTTCTGCATATAAAGTGATTGGGAACAAAATCCAGCTGGTAAAAAACTACTGAAACACCTTAGAAATTGTCTACTGTTTTCTTACGAATGCAACAAGTACGCAAAGTAAGGGTCAGATTAGCTAGAACTGCACTATTTAAAAAATTAATGGTGCAGTTGTCTCAAAGTTTTTTCAACAAAAGTGTTAAAACCGGTAAGCGATAAGTGTAAGCTGAATTAAAAACACTGAGAAAAGTGCTACAAAACTTACTGTACTCTGCTAGTTTCACTAGTTTTTTCTTTTGGACTTTAATTACAAATTATTTAGATGAAACGCTTATGAATATTTGCACCATTACCAAGTTAATAAGGCGCAACAAATCTCAAATAGTGTAGATATTCTATCATTGTTTCAGAAATTGATGAAATGAATCGTTTTTGAAGGGAATTAGAGTGATTCATTAACAAGACTCAGAATGGCGCGCATCAAAGCGGAACAAAAATATTGAAAAATCAGCTTTTAAGGCATAATCTTTGATTCTTGTAGCATTGTCATTTTTGAGTTTGATCCGTTCTGAACTTTCAAGTGTTGTCGTCAAAATTTTAATAAGACTGCAATTTATCATGATGAAAAATTCGAAATAAATCTTAGAAAAGCCTCCATAATAACTCTTAGTATTTCATTTTACCGTAGTCAATTTTAATTCTCATTCTATCAATAACGAAGAATTAGAATCAGCAGATTATTTTGAAGTGGGTCGCTGGAGGGTCAAGCAGTTCCACAGCACTCTATATTTACACAAAAACAATATTGTTCCAATTCTTTAAGGCCCAGAAGTATCCATTTGTTTATTTACTTGGCTAACAACACTTAACGCTCGTATTTTTTGCTCCATCATACAGATTTTTTAAAATTACTTGCTTTGTGCCGTTTTTTGCAAAATCATCCTTTCCTTTGTCGAGTTTTTCAAAATTGTTTGCTTGGCATTTTCTAGAAAGTTGTGCTTGACACTACCGAATATTTTAAATTTTTTAGTAAGCTATCAACGCGGCTTTATGATATCCGTTATCATACTGCTTATTTCGTCTGCATCGGTTGTTTGTGCGGAAGCGTAAGTTCATTCTGAATTATATAAAAATAAAATCTGCAGAAAAGTAATTCAAAACAGTGCAAAACTTCAAGCGTTTTATAGCTTTTTTCATGGTCAACGGTTAACTCAAGTCCCATATTTTACTGAAACGTCAAAAAATACTTCCTACCGAGAAGGATCCGCAGCGAAGCTGATATGTAAAGCTAACGGTAAGACTGTTAAAAGAATGACATATCCATGAAATTTTCTCAGTTAATTAAACACATGAAATACACCAAAAATTTAGTAGGTGTCTCAAGAAATTAACACCAAAATTTTATAAACTCATCTGTACATTCCTTAATCTTGAGACTCAGTACTATTAGTAACCAACAGCAACTAGCGAATTAGCTAATACATTTTAGCAAACCCGCCACCAGTGATTCTATGGTACTTCAGAAGCCAACGAATACTTCCTTCCAAAAAATATATATTCATAGAAGATTCTACTATTCTTACAGTTTATCCATTTATTAAAAGTGATACTGGGAGGTCTACAAATAAATAATTTGTTGTTTGTTAACTTTTTAAACTTCTCTCTATGCAAAAGTTTTACGACAAGCGAAACCAGTTTTCCTTGAGCGGACTATAACTGGACTTCAAAATATCATTTAAAAGTAGTTTAGAATTACTATACAAAAGCAACAATTTTAAAAAGACTATTGTAATATACTTTATGCACTTACTAATTTACATATTCTATAGCTACAAATGTATTGCGAAAAATAAAAATGGCCAACGCGAACACATCTTCGATGTTAAAATGACTGAGAACTCTGCTCCTATTATAACTGATGCTCCTCAGTCTCGAATTGCTCAGCCGGGTGAACACATAACCTTCATGTGTAAAGCAAGCGGAATGCCTCAACCACAGATAACATGGAGTTTTAACGGTTTTCTCCTTAACGACGATGACAAACATATAACGGTGAGACAATATGAATCTGAATACATAAAAAAATGAGAAACTACACGAAAAAGTCAAGCGAAATTTTGGCTAAAAAATCTTCAACTTATAAAATGACAATAAAGGATAGATAACCACATAAAAAATTGTTTTAAAAGTGTTTTGACAATTTGAGCAATAAATTTTTTCAGATATCTTATTCCGCAGTTACCAAAATAACTTTCTACATTAGAACTAAAATAATTCATTCGCCAATTTTTCAAAAGAAAAATAGACAAACTGAAAAGATCTGCACAAACTTAGGCATTTTTTAAACAGTTACAGTTTTATTTTAAATTTTTCAAAAATATTTTTCTTCTGATTTTTCCAGCAATGATTTATGCAGATTTCACTCAAAAGAGGTGAAGAACATGAAATCGTCAGCACCCCTTCAGCACTTTTGAATGAAGCGGTACTAAATAATTATTGCAGATTTGGCTGAACGCTTGGAAAACAGACCTAATGAAACAAAATACTTCCTTTCAAGTTTAACAATATTAAAAAAAATAAATTTAGCTTCTAAATAATGATACTGAATTGGTGATCAATCACGTTACACGTGAAGACCATGGAAATTATACTTGCCGAGCCGTAAACTCATTAGGAGACTCAAGCGCTAAAGCTCAACTTATTATCAACATTCCACATCAAGAATCCATCGACGCTACACTTACTAACGACTTGTTAAATAATGTTGTCAGCAAAGCAAAAGAAAATGTTGAAAAGTACGATATTTGAACCTC